GGGGGCCGCGGGGGGCGCGCGTGGGGGGGGGGTTGGAGAAGGGCCCTTGAGGGCTAGCGGGGCTGTTGGAGCAGCCTCGCTACCCCGAGACTGGGGGGGAGATTTCGGGGGTGGGGGCGGTGGGCTCTCCTCCCGGCCGCTGCACGCGGCCGGGAGAAGGATCGAGGGGGTGTGGGAGCTGGGCCCTCCTCCCAGCTGCTGCACGCTGCCGGGAGAAGGATTGCGGGGGTGGGGGAGCTGGGCCCTCCTCCCGGCTGCTGCACGCCGCCGGGAGAAGGATCGAGGGGGTGGGGGAGCTGGGCCCTCCTCCTGGCCGCTCCATGCCACCGGGAGAAGGATCGAGGGGGTGGGGGACCTGGGCTCTCCTCTCGCCCGCTCCACGCAGCTGGGAGGAAGCATCGACGGGGTGGGGGGGAGAAAGGCAAGGCCGGTGAAGGCAAGGCCGGGCAGGCTCGGCAGCCTACTTACCCTCCTGCTTCGTCCTCCTTCTCCAACAGAATGAGGATCGAAGCAGAGGGCGGAGTGAAGAAGGGGGCGGGTCTTCATCACGCGACCGCCCCACCCCCCGGAGGGTCTCTTCCAGAGCGCCGTACCGGAGCGCTCCCCCTCGATGAGACCGCTGGTTATAAGTTTATGGTACTGTTTTTATTTGTGAAATGTGTCAAGCAGGCCTCTGGAGATGTGAAATATAAATTCTCTGAATCGATGAATGAATGAATGAATTCCTTCTGTATCTCAAAAAGGCACTTCTAATAAAATCTGAATGGAATACAAGTACGTTTAAACTGAACTAACTAATTGGATGGAAAAGCAGACAAGAATTATTCAATTGGTTGACTGTCCTACTCCCAGCTTATTGATTTAATATCAGGAAGTTCTTTTTTTCTTTCATCTAAATTCTCTGGTTTCAGAAGAGGAGCCAAGTGACAAATAATATAGACTGCTGCCTATTTTGGACTGGTATCAGAAAAAACACATATTTCTTCATACACGGTGGAAATATAAATATTCAAAAAAAGTGACACAAACTCACAAAATCAATGTCGTGACAAAGTGAGTCAGTGTGGGGGTTATTGCTAGCTGTTCCTATATAAGCGTGTCCTCTCTCGCTGCTAGACACCAGAGGTCAAAGACTTTCTTCTTTTATACAGACCCTTCAGTAGGCAACATCATGAAGTACATCCTCCTGGGCACCGCTGTTTTTCTGCTTTTTGGCTTTTCCTTCCCGAGCCCCATCCTATCAGCACGAAACACTGAGGATACGAACTTTGTAGAGGTATGTATGATCCAAATCTTAATCAGCTGTACAAGCAATTTATAATGCATGACCTGCTGATACACATCAGTGGGTGTCTGGCTACTAAATTCTGAAGGTGCATTTTCATGGTGTAGTTTCTGCATAGTGAGGGAGGGGATTGTAAAAAAAATTGTAGACAATTGCCACAAGTGCCTTAACAGAATTTAATCAAAAAGACATCAAATGTAATGCAATCGTAGGCCTAACAAAGTTGACATAATGACAGCAGCCAGATATATATCTATTTAGTCATGTATGAAGCAGGGGGATGAGGGAGTAATTTGAACATTAAAAGGGGGCACATGGTCGATGGAAACTAAATATGTCCTTCTTCATGAGGTAATTCCTCAGAAGTTCTTTTCTGTGACTGAGTTAGGAGAAAAAGGTTGAAGAAATAGAGCAGATGGAGACAGGTTAGTTCTCCTCATTCATGTATCCCTTTGGGGGTTAAAATAAGCTTCCCCACCACCAGCTTTCCTCACAAACGGGACATATGATTAAAGGAACAATGGCTGCCACTGTCACATTTAGTTTGGTCCCGAATGTACAGCCCCTCCCCCTCAATAAAATATCATAGTGTAAAATTGTGCATATGGTGCCTCAAACATATTGCACCAAATTCATCCTCGCTCTCGCCACATGTTGAATCATTAACAGTCTCTTTATCACTACTGAAACTATTTTTCACAACCCTTTCTTGATGTGTGAGTCCATTCAGCTTCCAACAATTTAATGGGGTGAGTAGTAGTCCCTTTTTACAGATCAGAAAGCCAGTTTGTGAGGATGCAAAGCCGGGAAAAGACTAGAGTTCCCAGAAGAGTGCCAGGCCACTTGGCTGGCTAATCAGATCTCAAGAGAAAGCATAGGCTGGAAGCCAGCTCATCATGATCAGAAGAACATGGTGCATCACTTGATTGATTATGCCACTGAGAGTCTGTATTTTGAAAATGGAAAATTAGCATATCAGGGGGTAATGTGACATCCTAGCTTGTTACTTAACACATTTGCTTTCTAAAGGCAGGGATTTTTAAAAATATATTGGGGGTGTGGCAAAACTGATCATGCTGGTCTTCAATCCGTGAGCAGAGGTGCAGATGCAGGTTTGCATTCTAGGAGACAGATATTCCTTGCCTTCTCTCTTCTCCCCCAGCAGCCCCTCAAAAAGCCAGTCACTGGGAGTTGGAGGATCCTCATGGGGGGGAAAGCCCATGGGGGGGCTGCAGTGAGGAGGGGGAATCATCCCCTCCCACTTGTCTCAGTGAAAGGCTAATTTTGCCTGATTTCCCCTCCTCTTCCAGCTCCCCATGCAACATGGCGTATTTTTTTTTCACAAGGTACCCCAAGCACCTGCATCAGCTGTTTGGGCTGGAGTCACAGGGGTCTGCTCAGAAAAGGGAGAAGTGGGCAAGATTTTTTTCTCCCAAATACCTTGCACAGGCCATTTGTAGGATCCAACTCATACAACGCTTGTCTCAAATGTCTTTCAATAGACTTTTCCAAGCCAGCCACTGAATCCAAGCATAGATGTGGTGTCTAATCCCCAGGGCGGTACTGTGTTTTTGATCCAGCTGGGAGATAAAGGGTGATTCTGGATTGGCTGTTCCCTCTGTTGTTTTACGAAACCCACTTTGGAACAGAAATTCCCCTTTGCATTGCATGCTTCTTTCACTTTCTATGGTACCCTCTACACTGCATGCCATTTTTGCTTTCTTTGTCCATCAGGTTTTATGGTACCTTCTGCATAGATTTATGGCCATTCAGGGCTGACTTTGCAGTCAGTATGGTGTTGCCCAAGGTATTTGAATGTGGTTTTGAGCTGCAACTTTCCCTCCCAGTTGAGAAAATGTGGAGCGAATGCTAGACG